ACCCCCAAACCCCCAGAGCACCCCCAAGCCCCCAGGGAGGGTGCTGTGGGCAGACACCAGGTGCGAGCTGCCATTTCCAGCACAAGGGGGTGTCAGGCACAGCCTGAAGCTTTCGGTTTCCCTCTGTCCCACTCTCCCGGCTCTGCTGGCTACCAGGAGCGATGGTAGAACGATGCTTTGAGTCAAGGAACTCTGGTGTTGAAGGGTTGGGGGAGGCCTGGGGTCCCGGGACCCCTTCAGCCCAGCCCCCCCGTGTCTGGGCTCAGACAGCACGGTGCGGAAGGAGCGGGAGGTGATGCTGAGGCTGAAGGAGGTGGTGGACAAGCAGAGGGATGAGCTTCGTGCCCAAGCCCACGAGATCGTCTGCAAGAGCCGAGACACGGAGGCGGTGAGTGCAGGAGCTCAAGGTGTGGCGTGTGAAGGGCCTGGGGACCTGCTTTCATGTCCCCTCTCCCCGGGGCTGTCAGGGCAGCTGGCGAGCCTGCTGGGACAGATGCCTTTCCCATGGCTGTGCTGTCCCTGCCTGGCTCACCCTGCTGCCCTGGGCCGTTCAGCTGCAGGAGCAGCTGCAGCGCTTCATGGCCATGAACGAGGAGCTGCGGCACAAGGTGGCCGTGGTGCAGGCACAGCTCAAGAGCGCCCTGGAGAAGAAGTCGGACCTGGAGGCCGTGATGCTGCAAACCCAGAAGGAAATGAGCAGGAGGAACAGGACCACCTCGGAGGTCCAGGAGCCAAAGGCCAGCCCGGTGAGTCTGAGCCCATGGCCCTGCTGGGTCCTGGCACACCCAGACCTGCTGGTTGCCAGCTGGACATGGCCATTCAGGTGAGCCCTACTGCCAAAACCTGAACAGGACAGTGTGTGTGATCCTGGTAACATCTGGGCCATAAAAATTGGTAGGGGTGGAGGCAGGAGTGAGGGAGGCAAGGTGGTGGCAGGAAGAGCTGGGTGGGGCTCAGAGGACCAGGAGGGTTTGCCAGATGTGGTGATGGGTGGGTGCTGGCTGAGCTGAGCAGCCACCATGGTCTGTGGAGCCCTGCTGCAGCCCAGACCTCTGGACCAGCAAACTCCTTCCTGGGACTTTTCTATCTTTGCCTGCACGTGATACCCAGCCTTCAGATGGGGTTTTGGGGATTCCTGCTTGTCTGCTGACATTTCATCCTCCAGGAAGGAGCAGCAGCACCACCTAATGAGGAGCAGCACCAGGACATGGATGCAGGCAGGAACCCTGCTCACTGCTGCTTCTCCAAGGAGGAGCTGCAGCAGATCCTGCAAGAGCGGAACGAGCTCAAGACCAACCTGTTCTTAGTGCAGGAGGAACTGGCCTATTACCAGAGGTGAGTCCTGCTGTGACACTGTGGGGCAGAGAACTGGGTCCCTCCTGTCCCTGCAGCCACCTGTGGCCCATCCTGCTGTGGTAGGGGTGTATTTCTTTGCCAGGCTCTGGGTTAACCAGCTGGGTGTTTTGGGTTTTTTTTGCCAGGGAGCTGCTGAATGAAGAGAGAGTTCCTGGCTTCTTCCTGGATGCCATGAAGTCGACTATCAAAAGACAGAGAAAAAAAATCAGAGCCAAAATGCTGGGAACAGCAGAGGAGTCAGCCAGCAGGTGAGTCCTGCTCATTGGGAGGGAGGATGGAGCTTCCCATGCAGGGCTCCGGTGTTTCCATGTGATGTAATACCCTGGAAGGGAACTCCCCCTGGCCAAGAGCTGCCTCCTCCCTGCCTCAGTCCAAAGATCCAGGGTTTATTGTTTGCTCTGGCTTAGCCCTCAGAGCACCCCAGGGGCTGGGCTCTTCTCTGCCACTCGTGTCCCTGTCACCAGTCACACACACAGCCTGGCCAAATGCCACTTGTCCCTGCATGGAGGTGGCAAAGGGGAGGCGAGGTGGTGGCACTGGGACCACTGGACAGGGCAGGCTGGCCCCTGTGCTCTGTGGTTGGAGTCTGTCCAGTGGAGAGCCTTTGAAGGTGACAGTAGAGGTGCTCCTTGAAGGCTCTGCAAGATGTTCTGCTTCTCATGGTGGGGAGGGGACACACCATCTGCTGGCCAAGTACTGGGGGTTTGAAAGGCATCTGAGAAGACCTTCAGCTGGGGCTGGGCTTGCTGTGAAATGTGGCTGTGTCTGGGACACCAGTGTCACTTCATCTGCCTGGGGCTTTGTGACAGGTCACAGTCCATGGCAATTTGTGGGGACACCAGCTCTGGTCCATGTGCCCCTGGCTCCTTGGGGGGCACTGCTCCCTTCAGGAGGGAGCCCCAGGGTGGCTCTGGCACTTCCTCATGTCTCAGCACAGGTTTATCCCTTGTTCCTTTCTGCTGCAGCGAAGAGGACGAGGGCTCCTGGCTCCCAGCTCATGGCACAGATGATGTGGATGCTCAGCCTCCCGAATCCAAAATTAGGAGCTTGTGAGTTCACTCCCGTGCTCTGGAGCTGCTGGGGATGGGGCAGCTCCTCTGGAGCTTGGCTGCCCGCTGTGGGGCTGGCAGGGCTCCTGCCCGGGGGGGGTCGATCTGCCCTGCCCGGGGAGGGTTGGGACGAGCCTTGGGGCTGCCCCTGAGCTGCAGGGCTGGGCTGGTCCCGGGGGTCAGAGCTGGGCTGCATCCCGCCCCCTCCACCGAGCACCGCGGCAGGCTGGGATCCGGCTGCTTGCCAGGAAGGCTTTTCTCCCCCTCAGCCGTTATCTGCTCTCTCTGCAGTTTTGGGCAGTGGTATCAGAGCGACAGCGGAGACCCCCCCACATCCAGCTGCTCTGGAGCCTGGGAAATCATCGACTCACTGGACACGCAGCTGGAGCCCAAAGGAGAGAGTGAGGGGGCAGGCAGCTCCCCGGACAGAGCCTCACCCCCCCTCTGACCCCCTGAACGGGAGACACATCCAGCAGCACTTCCCGGCTCTCCCAGCAGCACTTCCCGGCTCTCCCAGTGGCCTTGGCAGCAGCAGGGCAGCCCTGGCCACCTCCCCATGCTGTGGTGACCCTGGAGCACCTGGGCAGTCTTCCTGCACGCCACTGGGACACTTGGCCATGGAATGCCAGCCTGGCATGGGACAACTCAGCTCCTTGGGCATCTCTGCCCCATCATTGTGCCCGTGGCTTAACTATGGGGGTCTTGCACAGCTGTGCCCCCACTCTCCACCTCCAGTCTGTGCCCACTTCCCACTGCTGTACCCTGAAAGGGCTCTTCTCATCCACTGGTGACTTTCCACCACGCACTTCTGCTCACAGCTCAGTATCCCATCACCAGATCCTCCCCAGTTAGGGGTATTTTGCTTCACCCCTTCCCACTCATATTTCATCCTCCCCATCCCTGCAATGTGAAGGCCAGGTTGGGGTGCCCAGGCTGGCCAGGCACTGTCCTGGGGTGCCCGCGTGGCCAGGAGGGGCTGAGCACACTGCACTGGGTGTCCAGGTGCTCCCAGACATGATGGCACCACTGGTGCCACTCCTGCACTTTTCAGGCGTGGGGTGAATTGGTTTTGTACTGGGACCTCTTCCTGCTACTACTGGGAACTCTTAAGACTGGAAGTCCTCGTGTTCACGGGGGCAAGTCTGTCCTCTTGGGTCAGGGACCTCCTGGCTCTAGAATTGGAGCTGGAAATAAATCAGTCTGGTTTGTCCTCCGAGGCTCCAGCTGCAGCCTCCCTGGGGAAGGCCTGGGGGCTGCTGCAGGGGCAGTTCCCAGCAGAACCAGTGCTGGCTGTGCAGTGCCAGAGCCCGGGCCCCCTTTCAGGGGTGGGCTGTGGTGGGAGTGGGGCTGCAGGGAGGGTGTGACGGAGTTAAATCCTGCACGCAGAGGGGAGCAGCACAATTCCAGCCCAGGCTCCCCCCAGCCCAGCGGCCTTGAGTAGGAAAAAGGTGTTTCCTGTGCATCTGCTGACACAAAGCTCCTGGGGAGGTGGGACAGCAGCCAGCAGTGGTTGGAAGGTCAGCCTGGGGCGCGCTGTGTCCCCGTGGGGGACGGGGGGACCCCACCTCTCAGCCCCTGCCAGGGGTTGGCAGCTCATGGGGATCAGGGCTGGGGGGGAAGCAGCAGAGGCCTGATGTGGGCTGGGGAGACATTGTCTAAAGTGGCTTTGGGGGTGATGGGGGATGTCAGAGGGGGAGCAGGATGCCCATGGGTGAGACGATCGTGTGGGTGCCAAGCCCCGCGTGGCTGCGCCAAGCCCCCGGGTGCCCCTTGCTGCTGCCAGGGTGGCAGCCAGGGCCGAAAATAGCCCTCGGGGTGGCATTCCCTGCCTCCCCCTCCCCGCTGCACCCCTGGTGTCTGGATCGGGGCACCTCCTCCCGCGTTTCCTCAGGAAGAAACCCAAGGCTGGCCGGAGGAAGAGGCCGCGCTGTGGGAGGGACGGGACAGACGGATGTCGGTGCGGGGCTGAGGAGCTGCCGGGACTTGTCCTGGTGTCCCGCCGGGATGAGGAGCACCCGGCCCATCCTCTGCCTCCAGCTGTGGCTGTGGGTGCAGAGCTCTGCCCAGGAACTTGACCCCGGTGGCAGGAATGTCTGCAGGTAGGTGCCATAGAGGTCCCTACTTGTGTCCCTCCATCTCCTGGGGCCTCTCAGCAGCCCCAGGGTGTCACCATCCATCCATCCTTTCATGGACAGAGATCTGCAGCCTGGAGTTGTGTGGGTGCAGAGGCTGGGGTGACACTGGGGAGCATGGTTGGGGCACAGGTGGGCATTTGGGGCACCCAGAGTCCTTTTGCAGAGGTTTTTTCTCACGGGCTTCCAGCAAGCAGGGCAACAGGAGGGAGGAGGGAGCATTGGCAAACCTTTCATGGTGCAGCAGGTGGGAAACGTGGGCACAGCAAAACCCGAAGGGCTTTTGGAGCTGGTGGCCCCTCTACTTTGCTGCTGCGTGTCCTCTCCACCGCCAGCAGCAGCACCTTCTGGTGCCTTCGTTCTGGGCTGGCAAAGCTTTGAGCTGCTCCCAGAGGTTTGTGGAATCAGCATGGGCTCCACAGCAGCAGACCCAAGCAGTTCTGCCCCCTCACCCAGCCCCACCACCCCCCTGGGCTGCAACCTCTTAAATTTCCTTCTATTTTGCTGGTTTCCTTCCGGAGCGACGTCCCCAGGGCTGTGCTGCTTCCCCACCCACAGGGCCCAGCCCGGGCAAGTGCCCACCAGTCACTTTGCCTCAGCTGAAGCTGTGAAGCTGCATGTGAGCCCCCCACCAGCCCCAGCACCCCCACCCCAGCTCACAGCCCCTGGGTCTCTCCCACAGGTTCCCCACTGGCTCAGCGTGCTGTCCCGGCTGGAAGCAGGAAGGGAGGGAGTGCACGGCTGGTGAGTGATGGAGGGTGATGGAGCCCAAAGCTTGGCTGGGTGGCTCCTCCACAGTGCTGGGGGAAGCCCCTGCAGCTCTCCTCAAAGTGGGGTACTGCTCTGTGGGGACCCCCATATGCCCACTGATCAAGCTGCTGTGGTTCAGCGGGAGGGATGGAGTGGGAAGAAGGATGTTTTTCTCTGGGAAGGCTGCCTTGGTGGGAGCTGGCTGGGTGTCTTGTGGTCCAGCAGTTGGGTGCAAGCCTGAGGGGGGGGGCATCTTGTGCTGCCACGCCCACCCTGCTGCCGGCAGCGCTGTGCGAGGGGGAGGAGGCCTGCCGAGCAGACGAGGTGTGTGTGAGACCTGGGGTTTGTCTCTGCAAACCTGGCTTCTTCGGAGCAGACTGCAGTTCCCGTGAGTATTTCCCCAGGGCTCAGCCCTTGCCGTCCCCTTTGCCAGCCTGGATGCTCGGGGGGCTGCTGGGCTTCCCCCTCACCCCCCACCCCCCCCCAT